GTATCTTGAACAATATAATATGCACAATGTGTTTGCTTTCGTTGTAGTGGTAGTTGGAGTCGTCCTTTTTCTTTTTAAGAATTAAAACGCAACATACCATTTATGTGAGATGTACTTTGCTAGACATCGAAAAGTATTTGGTTTTTTTTTCATAATCATGCTCTCTTCCTGTGAATCTCTATCTATGTTATCTATATGATGTACTATTGACGTTGGAAAACACATTACATTGCCTTGCTTTTATGTGCTTCATGTAGTTAATTATCATTGTTGCAGCGGTTTAAAATTGCATTGATGTGAAGCATATGAATGGTCTCAAATATATACATACACTCAGAGATGTATGAATTTGGAAGTCACTCCTCTCATGTCATATTTCTCATCTGGTGGTCTTTATGGCCAAAAAGACCACCAGATGTAGATACACAATCTCTCTCTCTCACTCTCTCTCTTTGGAATTGGGTTGAACTATGTATATGATGTAATTGTTTTATGGGATGAATGGATATGATAAAATGTAGATATTGATAGTAATGGTGGTGGTCTCTCCAGCTAAAATGTTTTATGTTATGTAATTTGTGTGTGTAATCCTATGGTTTGATTTTCAAAAATCTTCGACATTGTATATATATGGGGAGAGTCTGAGGTCAACCCGCTAACTGACAGCTATAGCAAACGCTCAATGGCCTAGGTTGAATCTAGGCCGATTTAATGGTCACGACAGTATTTCATATTCGAATTTTAATTTTCTCTACAAATCTAAATCACTTAAACTTTGAAGCATCTATTCTTAAAAATAAGATAATCTAATAAAATTATCAAAAATGTAATTCACTCAATTTAAATAGAACAAAATAACCTTCAAAATTTCAGGGATATTTTGATCAATTTATTTTTATTGAATTATTATTTTTAAATATTTTTATCAGATGCTTCTTGATGTAAAAAAATATTAAAATCTAAATAAAAAATGCAGTCGTGACAGTCAGATCATCCCAGCTTCAATCTGGATCGTTGAGCTTACACTATTCCATTAGCCCAAGATCTATATATATATATATAGAGAGAGAGAGAGAGAGAGAGAGAGAGAGAGAGAGAGAGAGAGAGAGAGAGAGAGAGAGAGAGAGA